AAAGCTTTAAAACAGTATATAACAATTCAATGTATTAGAAAATACAATATAAACTCTATTTGTATGCAAAAATACAAAGTAAACTCTATTTGGGAGATTCTCTAACCGACAACCATCACCATGAGCTATGTGATGATACAACATCTAGCCACACTGCCAGAACTATCCTATACTTTGTTGGGGTATAGAACTCCTCAACTAAGTGGATCCGCTAGTCTATGCTAAGAAACATTAAAGTAATCATCTAAAAGGTATGACCATTTTCTACCCATGTTGGCTAATGGTTTATGAGGGTTTTGATATGTTAGAACTCTCCCTCTCCCCCATATTGGTGCAAATACTACTCCCGAAATATAACTTAGCTCATTATGTTTTAAAGAAAACATTTCCTCTTCTTAAAAAAGGTAGTACTCATGAACTCTTTTGGAAATTGGTGTTTCCTCATTTTTCATAAATATTAAATCATTTCTCTGTGGAATACTTAGTTCCCATATATCATTTTAAAGAAAATTAACTCAACTTTACTCTTCCTCAAACTCAAATGCTCAAGTCTTAAAATAAGTTTAAAAGGTTTTTAAAAGACTTCTTAAAATAACTCGAAGAACTCTCAAGATTTGACTCTTAGATCTACCTTGATTTTGAATTATCAATTCAAGGTTATGATTCATGTTTTGAATGATTTCTAGATGTTTAGAAGTACTTTAGAGTAGTTAGAATCAAGAGGGAGTGAAGGTACTCTTTAAGAGAACATAGACGGGATAAACAATGGAAAAAGGGTGGGGGCAGGCGACCTTAGCGCACTGCTGGCGCAGGGCGCCAGTCCCTAAACTTCAGAGACTACATTTTTGCACACTTCTGGGGTACCACACCAGACTTCCTGACGCATCTGGGCGCGCCGCGCGACCCCTCCCCCAGGTCAATCCGACGAATTTTCTCTCTCGTTTTTTTATCCTAAATCACTTTTAATCGATTGATTTCCTCAAGTTTTCCTTAGATGCAATTACCCAATACAAGTACACAAGAATCTACTAAAAAAAACTCTTAAACTCAATACGATTACCTCAAGAACTCATCAAACCCAACCTAATTCAAGAACGAAAACAATACTTCAAGAACACACATCAAAAAGTTAAATCTGTCAATCTTTATGTACGAATTAAAATATGTAAATCATGATTGGCGTATGGGTGAACGAACCCAACACTATGAGAACTCACATACCTCTTATGGATTAAACCCTTGGCGAAACAATCTTTGATTCACGCACTACTAAAAAACAGTGAATACCGACCTAAAACCGACATCCCAACTTAGGTCAGAAAAAGCTTGGTCGCTATTCAATACCGACCTCTGGAGGTCGGTATTTACTGACCTCTTGAGGTCAGTTTTTATTTTAAGTTGGAAAATTCATTATTTTATTTTCCGACTTCCTGAGGTCACTTTATATATTTATTTATTTTTTATTTTTATTATTTCCAACTTCCTGAGGTCAAAATATTTATTTCTCATATTTTGGAATACCGACATCCAAATGTCGGTATTTGTTTTTATTTTTTATTTTTAATATTTTTTAAATTCCGACCTTTGGAGGTCAGTATTTTTATTTTTTCATATTTGAGATTCTGACCTATGGAGGTCGGTATTCTTATTTTTATATTTTTGAGATTCTGACCCTCCGTAGGTCGGTATTTTTATTTTTGTATTTTTGAAATTCTGACCTCCGGAGGTCGGTATTTTTATTTTTGTATTTTTGAAATTCTGACCTTCGGAGGTCGGTATTTATATTTTTTATTTTTGAAATTCTGACCTCTGGAGGTCGGTATTTTTATTTTTATATTTTTGAAATTCTGACCTCCAGAGGTCGGTTTTCTGCTACAAAACTGGCAGCAAATTGCTGCAATTTTAGTTGTCCACCTGCATATTTATACCAAAACAACCCAAAGAATTCCAAATAAACTTCATCCAACCAAAACAACACAGTATTTTCAACATATACATTAAACTATTTCAAAATAAACTAAAATACGATCAAACAATTCCAAAAATATAGAAGTCTAAAATGTCAAATAGATACAACTACTCCTCATCACCCTCACTCTCCTTATCAGACTTATCATTCTCATCACCCTCCTGATCAAATCCATCACTACTGGCCGGACATGGAGGAAGAATATTTCCTGATTCAAAAAGAAAAGTTAGTTGGGCCTTAAGCGCTGCATACCTCTTATTCTCTACCTCATTTGTTGTCGCAATCTCCTCTTCTATCTTCCTCTCTCTTTCTTCTCTCTTCTTCTCTCTTTCTTCTCTTTTCTTCTCTCTTTCGGCTACAGTAGCAAGCTCGGCATTGAGATAAGCTATCTTATTCTCTATTGTAGATATTGTCTCTCTATCTCCGCCATCAAAGCTTGAGGATGATGAACCACAATACCAAGACTTCTTCTTCTGATACGCCTTTTCTGGATAGCCATAGAATGAACCTCTAATCGGTTCACTAGCACTCTGTTTCCAAGGATTCTTGTTTTCTTCTTGTGTAAATGGTATGTCCTGACTCTCAAGAGGTAGAGTACTAAGATATTCCTGAGATATTCGTATATACCTATCCTGTAATTTAAACAAAGAACTCTACGAATAAGAATGTAATATATACAAGGAAAAGAAAAAAAGATTAGTTTGTATGGAGTTCTTACATATGTCTCTTGAGCACGTGGCTCAATCCATCTTTCTTCTTCTGTGGGGTTCGTACTCTTCTTGACGTGAGTAACCTTGAACATCTCTTCTACAGCTACCGGCCTACCCAACTCTTTTTCCTCCAAATAACATATATAGAATTTGATCTCTTTAATCTCCAAAAACTACTTATCAAAAAAGAAAAAATTATTTTACTAAATTAAGAAAGTATACCATTCTTTCCTTCCTAGTAACCTGGCTAATAGCTCCACCAGTGTGCAAAGAGCCTCCCTTTTCCTGATGCGCGAGCCATCTTCCCAATCTCACTCCTCTTTTTAAATTTTTCATTAGTACTCCAATGTTCCAGTAACAGAGCCCATCGATCCGGTAACATAAACTTAGGAATTCTGTCTTCTCTCCGAAGTCACAAAATGTGCTAGAAAGCAACTTTGAAGCTTTAAGCTTGAAGTTCACTTGAACGTCTTCCTCATGTTCGGGAGCCCATACATAATATTTTTGTAATAAAAAATAACTAAATATTTATTGTTCAAATGAATAGCGAATTTAAATATATATGATGTGAATTTAATTGATATACATTCTTACCTTAAATTCGTTGGACATCTGCCTTTGGGTGTTAAGTGGAATCGAACTCCAATTCGGGTACACACCATTATAGTGAGTTCCAATGCACTTTAAAATAATCTTTGCCATACCCATATCCGAACGTAAGCTGAAATACGAGTTCATTGACAAAGTAGAGTAAACAAAAAATAATCAATCACTTAAAATATAAATAGATAAATGAAAGATGAAACATAATTAAATCATACTTGTATCCTAATGGCTCGATGACGAGTCTCTGGAAACTGTCTCTATCGCCTGGCTGAGGACCATGTGCATCTGAGTGCTGGGTGGTCGGAGTATTAGGCTCTGAGCCATTGGATTCAAGATGAAGATTGGAAAGTCCAATCGATCCACTATTACTATTCAAACTATTGCACTGACTAGCAATAATTGATGGTATGGTAGACCCACGACCAAGATGTGATAGCCCTATAATGTTTGGTAACCCGAACTAGGTACCACAGTGGGTGTAGATATAGTATAACCAGATTGTGGAGCCACATGAGTAGAGGCATTATGTGACTGGTGTGCCCAGTGAGTAGTTGAAACTGAGGCTCGTTTTGAAATATTAACTCGAGAGGGCTCATCAAATATCACGACCCCAGTGGGCCTTCTCATGGCCTTAAATTTCTTTTTTGGATTAGCGGATTTTTTTTATTTACCCTTGTCTTTATCTACCATCTATATCAATTAAATATAAAAATTAAAACAAAGTAGTACAAAATAATGTCACAATGTCAAACAAATATATCAAACAAAGTTATCAATTTTGTCATCAATAGGATCAACTAGTGTTGGTACTTATGCTTAACAAACACATTATTCCTAAATTAAAGCTTAATATCAACACTAGATGGACACAAATCAATCTTGCAAGAAAATCAATTTTATCATCAATAGGATCAACTAGTGTCGATACTTATGCTTAACAAATATATTATTTCTAAATTTAAAGCTAAGTGTCAACACTAGATGGACACAAATCGATCTTGCAAGAAAATCAATTTTGTCATCAATAGGATCAACTAGTGTTGGTACTTATGCTTAACAAACACATTATTCCTAAATTAAAGCTTAATATCAACACTAGATGGACACAAATCGATCTTGCAAGAAAATCAATTTTGTCATCAATAGGATCAACTAGTGTTGGTACTTATGCTTAACAAATATATTATTTCTAAATTTAAAGCTAAGTGTCAACACTAGATGGACACAAATCGATCTTGCAAGAAAATCAATTTTGTCATCAATAGGATCAACTAGTGTTTGGTACTTATGCTTAACAAACACATTATTCCTAAATTAAAGTTGAATATCAACACTAGATGGATACAAATCTATCTTGCAAGAAACGTTAAAACTACTAAATAGTCTTTCACAATGTCGAACAAAAGTTAAAACTACTAAAATATAAAGTATACTCAAATATGAATAGCTAAAAATCCACCAACTAAACATACAAATCGTTATTCATCATCTTCGGAAGTTTCTTCATCATCTATCCATTCACATGCATCATCTTCGGAAGTTTCCTCCTCATCTATCCATTCATCCTCTTCGAAAGTTTCCTCCTCATCCTCCTCCAAATTTGTTGGCATATCTAACTCTTCTCTATTAACTTCTTCTAAAATGTGATCAGGATGCTCCAAATTCATTTCTAACTCAGCATCCACTACTTGATGAAAGCTTCTTTCAAGAAGTTTTCATTTCTCCAAGAACTTCACGGACACTATCAATATCTGAGTGAGGAGTCGTAATTGATTGGAAAGTGGCTTTCCGCTCCTCAGTCCTTGCATACTAACACTTGATATTTCATTTTGATATGCAACATCCAATTCACTCTCAACTTCCACTCGCCCCATTAGTTCTGTTTTGATTACAACCCACCAATCAGACTTATCCCTACGCAACGGATAAAGAGCATAGTACACTTGCTTAGCATTCTGTGCAATAATAAAAGGATCATAAGCCTCATACTTCCTAGTGTGCTTGACTTCAATGATATTATGTTGCTTAAGCTCCCTCGTACCTCTTGAAGTTGGATCAAACCACTTGCATTGGAAAAGTACTATTCTTTTGATTGGCCAACCCGAATACTCCAACTCTAGAATCTCCTGTAGGACACCAAAATAATCAACATTCTCATTTTGACTTCCATCATCACCTTTAACCCAAACACCACTATTATTAGTTTTCTTATTCTTTGAGTAGTTCTCTGTGGCAAATTTAAAACCATTTACGTTATATTGGGACATTGTGTGAACTGTAATCGGTCCCCAAGAAATATCCTTGAAAAATTGATCAAATGTGGCGGCATTTTCTGAATTGTAGACCTATATAAGGTTAGTAAATTAAAAGCAATGTTAGTAGAAATAAGAGTACATTGATCTCTTAATAGGTGTATATATTACAACACTTACCCAATTAGTATACCACGTTATAAATGATGGAAACACTTGATCATGACCATATTGGCTCACAAAATAACTGTAGAATCACATTGAAAATACAGTTAGTTTCCTTAATAAAATCGGAGTTGAATATATGTTGTTTACATATTTAATTTTCTTATTCTAAGAAGGGTTGGACTTCTGGACAATTCAACAAGACATGAAGCTCTGCTAATTTTTTTCTCCTTTTCGGTAAGTTTGTGCAATGTACACTTTTTTGAACCCTTGCTCGGTTGGTTGAAGATTGATAATGATTGTACTGCAGGATCATTCCCAATATCATCATGTCGATTAGATCTGTTTCTCAAACACGACACATAATCATCAAAGTAGTAAGAACAAAAGTGGGATCTTTCTTTAGCTAGATATACTTGAACCATACAGCCCTCCATCCTATGTTTATTCTTAATACCCCTTGTAGACTTGCCAATGCTCCTATAAAATTTTGTATTAGATATATAATTTCAAAAGAAATATAAACGATTTATGAAATAAGAGTAGATGTGTTATATATAGTTACTTACCGCTCAAAAGGATACATCCACCTATATTGAACTAGACCTCCCAGTAGGGCTTCATGAACAAGGTGAATAGGAAGATGTTCCATCACATCAAAGAACCCAGGTGGAAGAATCTTCTCCAACTTATTACTAATAACAACGATATTTTTGGCCATTCGAACCAGATTCTCTACTCTCAATGTGCTGGAACACAAGTCTTTGAAGAACAAACTAATCTCTGCCATTGGTTTCCATATGTTTTCAGGTAATCCACAAAAAGCAATCGGAAGTAATTGTTCCATGAAAACATGACAGTCGTGACTTTTCATCCCATGTAATATTCCATACTCAATGTCAACCCTCTTTCCCAAATTTGAGGTATATCCATCTGAAATTTTCAAGCTTTCCACCCACTCACAAATTTTTCTCTTATGTTCCATTGTGAATGAATAACTAGCCTTGGGCTTAAGTAACTTATTGTTGGCAGACTCCTGTAAATGCAACTCCGATCGTCTACAATGTTCTGGTAAGTCAAGTCTAGCCTTAACATTATCTTTTGTCTTGCCAGTTACATCCATTACAGTGTTGAACAGATTATCAAAATAATTCTTTTCAATATGCATGACATCAAGATTATGTCTAAGCAAATTATCCTTCCAATAAGGTAACTCCCAGAATATACTCTGATTAGCCCAATTATGTGCAACACCATACCCATCAAATTTGTACGGTGGTTCCTCAATTACCTTTGGAAAATTTTGAACCCTTTCCCAAATATCATCACCCGTTAATATTGGGGGTGGACCATCTCGTTCAGTTTTATTCTTTTTAAATGCATATTTCTTTCTCCTAAACTCATGATCAGGTGGCAATAACCGAAGGTGACAATCAAACCATGAATTTTTTCAGCCATGTTTTAATGTGAATGATTTAGTATCTTCCATACAGTAGGGACATGCTAACTTTCCAGCTGTCATCCATCCAGATAGCATTCCATAGGCAGGAAAATCATTAATAGTCCACATTAAAGTAGCACACATGTTGAAATTTTGTTTACGAGAAATGTCCCATGTTTCTACCCCCTCAAACCACAACAATTTCAACTCATCAATCAAAGGTTGTAAGTACACATCAACCTTGCTTTTTGGATTACTCGAACCAGGAATGACACAATTCAGATATATATATGGACTTGTCATACACATCTCAGGTGGAAGATTATACGGTGTAATAAACACAAGCCAACAAGAATATGGTGCAGCCCCAACTGAAAAAGGGGTGAAACCATCCGCACACAAACCCAGCCTAACATTCCTTGGTTCAGCGGCAAAATCTGGATAAGTTCTATCAAAATGTTTCCAAGCCTCTCCGTCAAATGGATGACACATGACACTAGGTGGCCTTCTATTTTCACGGTGCCATCTCATATGAGGAGCAGAGCTATTTGATGCGTACAACCTCTTCAATCTTGGTATAAGAAGTAAATAATACATCGCCTTAATAGCAAGTTTCTTTTCGGTAGAACCAGTCTTATAGTGAGGGTGATTACAAAACTTACAAGACTTTAGATCGATATCCTCCTTATAGTATAACATCCAACTGTTTTTACAACAATCAATTCTTATCGAGAAGAGTCCTAACTTAGACACCAATGCATTTGCTTTACAACAAGAATCAGGAATCTCTACATTGGGATCAACTAATTCCTTCATAAGATCTATCATAGAGTCCATTACTCCTTGAGAAATATTATTGTCAGATTTGATACTTAACAATCTAACTGCAACAGACAATTTAGAGTGTTGACTCCCGTTGAACAAAGGACTACTACAATCACGCAATTGTTCATAAAAGATTTTTGCTTCTTCATTAGGAGTTTCTTCTACATTTTCTCCTTGTTCAAAATCAGAATGCATCCCAAAGCATCATCAACCATATCTGACATTCTAGAACCTTGGAAATAATTATGCTCGGTAGATCTACTTCTTTCACGGACAACAAAGTTATTAAACATAGTGTCACTTTCAACCTCACCATGACTAGTCCAAACTGTATACCCTGGTTTGAATCCATTCATCATAAGATACATAGCAACAGTCTTTGTTGTATGATATCTCACATTTTCACAATTAACAGACGGACACCTAATCAATCTTGAAGTTAAAAAATCATCAAGTGTCTTTGCATGATTTATAAATCTAATGACACCTTCTGCGAATTCTGGAATCATACCCGCTCGACCAGGATTGTTTCTATTATACATCCAACTACGATCAGGATCCATCTACACAAACAATAATGATACTTTTAATTCCATCAGCTAAATAACATTTGAACTTATTTAAACAACTTAGTCACTTTATAAGTCTAACTAGTTTTGAAATATTTATTTTAACTTAGTTAATCAACTTAACAACTTTTTAACTTTAACTAGTTTAGATTTGACTTAATTCCAAAAACTAAATCCACAAAATTTATTTTAACTTATTTAAACAAACTTACTTTTTAACTTTAACTACATTAGTTTTGACTTAATTCCAACAACTAAATTCACTAACTAAACCACATTATTTATTTTAAGTTATTTAAACAACTTTTTAACTTCAACTAGTTCAGTTTTAACTTAATTCCAACAACTAAATCCACCAACTAAGCGACATTATTTATTTTAACTTATTTAAACAACTTAACAACTTTAACTAGTTTAATTTTGACTTAATTCAAACAACTAAATCCACCAAATAAATCACAATATTTATTTTAACAAACTTAACTTTTTAACTTTAACTACATAAGTTTTGAATTAATTCCAACAACAAAATTCACTAACTAAACCACATTATTTATTTTAAATTATTTAAACACTTAACAACTTTTTAACTATAACTAGTTTAGTTTTGACTTAATTCCAACAACTAAATCCACCAACTAAACCACATTATTTATCTTAACTTATTTAAACAACTTAACAACTTTCACTAGTTTACTTTTGACTTAACTCCAACAACTAAATTAACTAACTAAAACACATTATTTATTTTAACTTATTTAAAAAACTTTTTAACTTTAACTAGTTTAGTTTTGAATTAATTTCAACATCTAAATTCACTAACTAAACCACATTATTTATTTTAACTTATTTAAACAACATAACAACTTTTTAACTTTAACTACATTAGTTTTGACTAAATTCCAACAACTAAATTCACTAACTAAACCACATTATTTATTTTAACTTAATTAAACAACTTTTTAACTTTAATTAGTTTAATTTTAACTTAATTCCAACAACTAAATCCACTAACTAAACGACATTATTTATCTTAACTTATTTAAACAAATTAACAGCTTTCACTAGTTTAGTTTTGACTTAATTTCAATAACTAAATCCACCAACTAAATCACATTATTTATTTTAACTTATTTAAACAACTTAACAATTTTAACTAGTTTAGTTTTGACTTAATTCCAACAACTAAATCCACCAACTAAACCACAATATTAATTTTAACTTATTTAAACAAACTTACTTTTTAACTTTAACTGCATTAGTATTGACTTAATTCCAACAACTAAATTCACGAACTAAACCACATTATTTATTTTAACTTATTTAAATAACTTTTTAACTTTAACTAATTTAGTTTAGACTTAATTCCAACAACTAAATCAACCAATTAAGCGACATTATTCATTTAAACTTATTTAAAACCTTAACAATTTTAACTAGTTTTGTTTTGACTTCATTCAAAAAATTAAATCCACCAACTAAATCACAATATTTTTTTTAACTTATTTAAACAAACTTAACTTTTTAACTTTAACTACATTAGTTTTGACTTAATTCCAACAACTAAATTCACTAACTAAACCACATTATTTACTTTAAATTATTTAAACACTTAAAAACTTTTTCACTATAACTAGTTTAGTTTTGACTAAATTCCAACAACTAAATCCACCAACTAAACCACATTATTTATCTTAACATATTTTAAAAACTTAACAACTTTCACTAGTTACTTTTGACTTAACTCCAACAACTAAATTAACTAACTAAACCACATTATTTATTTTAACTTATTTCAACAACTTTTTAACTTTAACTAGTTTAGTTTTGACTTAATTCCAACATCTAAATTTACTAACTAAACCACATTAGTTATTTTAACTTATTTGAACAACGTAACAACTTTTTAACTTTAACTACATTAGTTTTGACTTAATTCCAACAACTAAATTCACTAACTAAACCACATTATTTATTTTAACTTATTTAAACAACTTTTTAACTTCAACTAGTTCAGTTTTAACTTAATTCCAACAACTAAATCTACCAACTAAGCGACATTATTTATTTTAACTTATTTAAACAACTTAACAACTTTAACTAGTTTAATTTTGACTTAATTCAAACAACAAAATCCACCAAATAAATCACAATATTTATTTTAACAAACTTAACTTTTTAACTTTAACTACATAAGTTTTGAATTAATTCCAACAACAAAATTCACTAACTAAACCACATTATTTATTTTAACTTAATTAAAAAACTTTTTAACTTTAACTAGTTTAGTTTTGACTTAATTCCAACAACTAAATCCTCCAACTAAACCACATTATTTATCTTAACTTATTTAAACAACTTAACAACTTTCACTAGTTTAATTTTGACTTAATTCCAATAACTAAATTCCCCAACTAAACCACATTATTTATTTTAACTTATTTAAACAAGTTAACAACTTTTTAACTTGAACTAGTTTAGTTTTGACATAATTCCAACAACTAAATTCACTAACTAAACCATATTATTTATTTTAACTTATTTAAACTACTTAACAACTTTAAATAGTTTAGTTTTGACTTAATTCCAACAACTAAATCCACCATCAAAATGGCATTATTTATTTTAACTTATTTAAACAACTTAACAATTTTAACTAGTTTAGTTTTGACTTAATTTCAACAACAAAATCCACCAACTAAACGACATTCTTTATTTTGACTTACTTAAGCAACTTAATAACTTTAACTAGTTTAGTTTTGACTTAATTCTAACAACTAAATCCACCAACTAAACCACAATATTTATTTTAACTTATTTAAACAAACTTAACTTTTTAACTTTAACTACTTTAGTTTTGACTTAATTCTAACAACTAAATTCACTAACTATACCACATTATTTATTTTAACTTATTTAAACAACTTAACAAATTTTTAATTTTAACTAGTTTAGTTTTGCTTTAATTCCAACCACTAAATTCACTAACTAAGCCACATTATTTATTTTAACTTATTTAAACAACTTAACAACTTTAACTAGTTTAGTTTTGACTTAATTCCAACAACTAAATCCACCAACTAAACCACATTATTTATTTTAACTTAACCAAACAATTTAACAACTTTTTAACTTTAACTAATTTAGTTTTGACTTAATTTCAACAACTAAATTCACCAACTAAACCACATTATTTATCTTAACTTATTTAAACAACTTAACAACTTTCACTAGTTTAGTTTTGACTTAACTCCACCAACTAAATTCATTAACTAAATCACATTATTTATTTTAACTTATTTAAACAACTTTTTAACTTTAACTAGTTTAGTTTTGACTTAATTCCAACAACTAAACTACTAACTAAATGACATTATTTATTTCAACTTATTTAAACAACATAACAACTTTTTAACTTTAACTACATTAGTTATGACTTAATTCCAACAACTAGATTCACTAACTAAACCACATTATTTATTTTAACTTATTTAAACAACTTTTTAACTTTAACTAGTTTAGATTTGACTTAATTCCAACAACTAAATCCACTAACTAAACCACATTATTTATCTTAACTTATTTAAACAACTTAACAACTTTCACTAGTTTTGTTTTGACTTAATTCCAATAATTAAAACCACCAACTAAACCACATTATTTGTTTTAACTTATTTAAACAACTTAACAACTTTTTAACTTTAACTACATTAGTTTTGACTCATTCTAACAACTAAATTCATTAACTAAACCACATGATTTATTTTAACTTATTTAAACAACTTAACAACTTTTTAACTTTAACTAGTTTTGTTTTGACTTAATTCCAACAACTAAATCCACCAACTTAACCACATTATTTATCTTAACTTGTTTAAACAACTTAACAACTTTCACTAGTTTAGTTTTGACTTAATTCCAATAACTAAATCCTCCAACTAAACCACATTATTTATTTTAACTTATATAAACAACGTACCAACTTCTAAACTTTAACTAGATTAGTTTTAACTGAATTCCAACAACTAAATACACTAACTAAACCACATTATTTATCTTAACTTATTTAAACAAGTTAACAACTTTCACTAGTTTAGTTTTTACTTAATTCCAATAATTAAATCCACCACCTAAACCACATTATTTGTTTTAACTTATTTAAACAAAGTAACAACTTTTTAACTTTAACTACATTAGTTTTGACTTATTTCCAACAACTAAATGCACTAACTAAACCAAATTATTTATTTAACTTATTAAAACAGTTTAACAACTTTTTTTACTTTAACTAGTTTAGTTTTGACTTAATTCCAACAACTAAATCCACCAACTAAACCACATTATTTATCTTAACTTATTTAAACAACTGAACAACTTTCACTAGTTTAGTTTTGACTTAATTCCAACAACTAAATCCACCAACTAAACCACATTATTTATCTTGACTTATTTAAACAACTGAACAACTTTCACTAGTTTAGTTTTGACTTAATTCCAATAACTAAATCCACCAACTAAACCACATTATTTATTTTAACTTATTTAAACAACTTAACAACTTTTTAACTTTAACTACATTAGTTTTAACTTAATTCCAACAACTAAACCACATTATTTATCTTTACT